TTCTGTTCTCGTGTGCTCTGGTTGGTTGGATGAGTAGAATAGTGTGAGACTATAAATATAATTGCAGAGAATGAGTAGAAATGAATGAATACTAGCGACTCACCATGTTGCCAAATGTTTTGCAAAGCAATTTCTATAGTGGGTGGGGCTGGCTGGACATTGATTGACTCCGTGTTCTAAAGAATACGGAAACCACGTGGCTCAACTTTAGCTAAAATTATTAATATTTTTATTGTTTAAAAATAAATATAGAAATAGAGATAAAAAAAAGGCTCATGCATACACAGTGTACTTCATAATAATTTACTAAACAAAATAATAATTATAAATGTATATGTGCTTAAAAAGTAATGTTACTGATGTTTTATAAAAGAGAATAAACTGCAGTTTGCAATAATTCCTACTATAATGATAATAAATCAAAGGTGAGTGTCTGCGATAGAAATACGTCTAAGGCGATATTGTTCTGTGGCTGCAGCTGGTTGCCTTCCTCTCTTAGCAAATCCTTCGATGGGAGGCTGAGAGTCTTCATCTTGTGAATAAGATATTCCTGTCTTGAGTGCAAACATCAGATTATCCATATGCGAGCCAGACTCTCCGCCATCGGAGTCCCCTCCCCTAGCAATGGCATAGCTACCAGACTCTCCAGAATCACTGTCACCATCTTTCTCCTGGACCTCTTCAATCAGGGGAGGAGAGGGAGGGAGAGAAGGAGGGAGGGAAGGAGGGAGCGAGGAGTCCGCTCGTTTTTCTTGCTGTTTCTGTTTCTGCTTCTTTTTCTTTTTTGAGGTATGAGAGGGTTTCACCGACGAGTGAACACTGGGAGTAGCTGTGGTTGGTGGAGGGGAGAGCCTTTTCATCATTATGTGCTCTTGCGATCCAATTTGACCGTGAGAGCTAAGCTTGTTATGTGTGGACGTCTATAGTGAAGAGAAAAAAATTATAGAAATAATCAGGACACTATGATAACAGCTATTGCTCGTTAGCTGAAATGCACTATGCTACATGGTCTTTGGAGCAACTTTAAAAATTTATAAAAAATTCAAATTTGATTGAAATCAGCTCAAACTTTCTACACAACATAAAAACATGTATATGCATCCGAAAAAATTATAAAAATTAAGAATTCTCTACTTTTCATTTTTGACAAAATTTGACCGAAATCCCTGTACTATAGTACAGGGACTTTTGCCCAATTTTTGAGCAACTTTAAAAATTCATAAAAAATTTAAATTTGATTGAAATTAGCTCAAACTTTCTACACAACATAAAAACATGCATATGTATTAGGAAAAATTATAAAAGTTAAGAATTCTCTACTTTTCATTTTTGACAAAAATTTGACCAAAATCCCAGTATTAGCACTGTACATGGTCTTTAGCCCAATATTTATCAACTTACTCTTGGCAAAAGTGATAACTGGGACCCATACATGCTTGGATAATGCTCTCCTATAAACTCTGGCTCCTCTGGTATGGTCAGTGGCTCAACATCTTCTTTAATAGGATAATGCTTGTGCTTCCATGTTAGTGTATGCCAGCTTACAAACAAGTACACAATGAGAGCATAAATACCCTGAGAAAAAAGAGAGAGGTGGAATAATACTTATTTACTTATATAGAGCAAAATACTATTAACCTCAATGATGTTGAATGCAAAGAACAAAAAGAAGAGGTAAATCTGTTGAAGGTATAAATGAAGTGCACCAAACACGATATTGATGACAATGATGGCCATAAAGGTGAGTAGGAGTGGTATTTCTAAAAATGATCCAAAAAATTAAAAGATACTCCAATACAATAATACTCTGTACCTCTCTTGTTAAATGTGTCTTTGTACAAGCTCTTGAAGTCTTCCCATTTCGACCAGTAGAAGCAAGAATGAGAGAGAATTCCAACACCAATCAGTAGGACCAGTATGATAGGCAATGCTGATGACACACCTGCTATAGCAGGAGAAGGCATGAAGCAACTAAAATGAAATTAAAGAAAAGAATAAAAATAATTTTATTTTTAATTTTAAACTTACAGTCCTCCAACTCTTCCGTATATATCACTCCAGCTCTGAGCAGCTCCAAACAGTGATATCAGTATGGTTGCTATTACAATGGCTATAGCAATACCCCAGCCTACAAATATGTAGATAATGAGTGGCTCATTTCCATCAGTCAATCCCATTAGGTTCATCCACAATGACATTACCTGAAAAATAAGGCAATTATATAAATGAGTGTGTGTATGTAAGTATGCATGCT